TCAGCAGAGTGACTTGACAGGTTTTTTTTAAAGCACTGGAGAACTTCAGCAAGAAGTTTGCTGCCTTTCCTGCCTCGAGTCAGATGCAGAGCTTGTGCCGTTCTAGCAATTAACAAAAAGGGGAGTGTTGTGGGTTCTGAGCACAGGTACCCACGGATAGTCAGGTGCGTGTGAGAGTCAGCAAACCCTCTGCACGTGAGGGCTGACACCGGGGTGCTTTGTACCACTGCATTCAGACACCGTGTTCCGAGTGTCTTTGTTATCGTCGCCTGATAAATAAACAGCCCTAAAATTACAGAACTTATTATGGTAATTGAGTGAAGAAAAGGAAATGCAAACCCTGCCTCACTATCTATTACATTGCCACTGCTAAAGTTGCCTAAACCTGTGCTACTCAAATGATATTGTAATATTAGCCTTCTTTCTTTTTTCACAATGATTGTTTTCTGTCCATCTCAAGCTGGATGTCAGTTCATTTAGATTTACATCAAGTAGTAAATTAAAATAATCACTCAGCAAACACTCTCAGCTCAGTTTTCTCTTTCAGTCAGGAGTTGCGAGAGATGCTTGAAGCATTCAAGCAGAAAATATTGCTGTCTAGATATTTGTCCTCTGGGTGATAAAGGAGGCATTGTCTTGGGACCCACTCAGGCCTCGGAGCTGATAGTAGCTGTGCATCACAGCTGTGAAGTGCGCTTTGTTATGTGTCTGAGGATTAGGGTTCAGGACCTTGTTTTTCTTGAAATACCAGACTGATCAGAGCTGCATATGTTCGGGGGAAAGCAGAGGTCGATGGTTCTCTGTCCACATTTTTACTAGATTATTTTTGGACAGAACTCTGGGAGAATACCCTGCAGCTTAAACCATCCCAAGAGTTTTTTCATATTCTGCATTATAACCGTCGTGGAAAAAAAGGGCTGTAGTTTATCTCTGCATCTGAAACAAAAGGCTCACAGCACCGCAGGCACGCCGGGCTTTGGACCCACAGCCTCAATTCTGCTCCTTTGTGCTCCATTTCCAGTACAGCTGCCCATTTTGGAAGCACAAATGCACCTTGATGTAATAACCAAATCCAAAGAATTGTCTGGCCTTAAGGACGGCACAGATCGACAGTTTAATCTTAAAGCAAGGGTGGCACTGGGGTGGTGCACAGACCAAGGGCTTGGGGGGACAAAAAAAGGCTGTTCTGTGTTTCTAAGCCGTCTGTTCCACAAAAACAAACAAACAAACAACTGGATTTATTTTTTCTCCTAAAAAAAATTAATCTGCAGCTTTTTTCCCCCACCCCAGCCAAAAACAAACAAAAAAACCCCCACCCCAACCCCCCCAGCCCAGCAGTATTTATTTTGGCAGAAAAGCTCTGTACAGAAGCACCCCTAGTGAGGATACTGTGGTGAGGGAAGGCAATGCTTCCATTACAGTGAAGGGTGTGAGTGAAGACTGCAGGATCTGGGCACGATGTGCTCAGCCTCGGTAGCAGCCTCCTCTTCGTGGCAGCACGGTGTGGCAGTTTGTGGGATTGAAGATTTGGGGCCAGACTCTCATCTCACTTACGTTGGTGTGATTCCACAGGAGCTAGCTGGGTCTCACTGATAAATAGACTATGTGTGGCTCCTTTGTTGCAGGGGGATGTGCTTACAGACATGGCAGATTCACCTTTCAGTGTCAGTGTGAATCTCTCCCTTCAGGAACGGGGCTCTGGTCAATAGGCAGAATGTTGCCCTTGAAATGATTAATGTTAATTGTAGAACCCCACCGATGGGGTGGAAGGGAGAACAGCGTTTGCCCATATGCAGTTTAGTGGCTGAGGGTTGGTTGCGAGTGTTTCTCTGCTTGAAAACACGTCAGTGGGCACAGCTTTTGACCCCCATCAAGCTTCTGTGTAAATTCTGAGAGTCACCCATTATTTTCAAAACTTGGCCTTCCCTTCCTCCACCCCCACCCAGGACTGGGCCTGCACATCCTGCTGTGCCTTCCAGTCAGTGGGGTGGCTCAGGTGCCCTTCTCTCCATGGGAAGGTGAGTTTGGAGCTGTGCTCCAGGGCACCTGGGAGGGGATTTGGGACAGTAACTTGAGCTTAGGGGCTTTCATGAACGCCAGTCGACCAAACAGCTGCTGGGCATGTTCTTACCAGCCCAGTCTTTTTGTGGATGCCATTGTCATTCTTGGCAATTTGCTGGTTTTATGGTCATGGCAAGAATGATCTAGAAGTGTTTTTTTTTTTTTTTTTTTGTGCCTAGACAAACTGGTTTCCAAGTGGCAAAGGAGTCACTGGAGCAGGATGTGGAATGAGGAGCCTTGGTCAGAGATGGAGCTGTGTAATTATTGTTTGAATTGAGCTCCAGGCTCCCAACATAGATCTGTGTTCTCATCCTCTGTGCTGCTGGACATCCTCCTGCCCTGCTGCCCTGACGTGCTCCTCTCCTGAGGGTTTCTGTGGAGAGGATGTGCATGGATGGACCAAAGCAGTGCCACGGGGAGGGGAGGAGATGGTTCCTTGTTTCTTCATCCTCTGCCTGGCAGAAGTGATTTGCTGCAGTTGTGCCTGCAGAAAGCTGGCATCCTGTGAAGGCATTTATCACTGGAGATATGCTGATAGCAAACCTTCAGAAAATCATGGAGTAGCAGTCAGTGTGTCCTTTGTTTATAAGTAGTCTTTTAAATGTAGGGATTTTCCCTCACTTCTGCTTCCTCTTTTCTTAGGAAATGACCACAGGGTACTAACCTCTGCTTTTGTGCTCAGAGAAATCCTCTCTCTCTCTGTTTTATTTGTCCTCTGCCTTTTTTTAAATTTTTTTTTCACTAGTTTTTTTTTTTTTTTTAAATGCAATTTGATTTTTTTTTTCTTGTGCTTTGAAAAGGTTTGGTTTACCCTTCCTCACTCGTGCCAGCACAGCTATCCATCAGTCCCTTTTCTCCTCAAGTTGTTGCTACTGTTGGGATTCCTTTATTATTACATCTTCCATGCTTCCTCTTCTTTCCTAAACGAGTTTTCTGTTTTGTTTATCTGTTTCATAGGTATCTTCTTCCTATATCCTGGCAAAATATATTAGAGGTGCCACTTAATTTTCCTCTCTGATCCCGCTCCACAGCCCTCAGAAACAACAGAAAGGGGAATCCTCTTCTTAACTGCATTAAAAAAAAAAGAAAGACAGTTTCCTGAATGAAGGAAAAAGAAAACCTGCCAGAGGAGAAGGCACCTCCAGCTCCTCATGCAAACCCACCTCTGGGAGGCAGAAACCTTCCCCTCCTGGTACCTGTTCCCTGCATGAGGGAGAGGGGCCGAGATATTTCAGAGTGTAAACCGTCATACCAGTAATTACAGGATCTTGGTGGATTTATATCAGCTGAAAATCAAGTCTCAGAGTTTTATGTGGTTTGGGTTCTTTGTGGGAAGAAGTACAAGCACTCACACAGGCCTGTCATGACACTGAATGGCAGTGGAAGGGGGAATTCCCCCAGTTGTGTGCAATGGGGAAAAAAAAAAGAAAAGAAAACAAAACCAAAAAAAGGAGATAATTTCCTGACTGCAGGAAAAGAACTGCTGGGGTAGAAGGTTACCAAGGCCTCTGTCTCCTTGTGTTTATCTGAAGAGAGTATTCAGAGAGTTCAAACACAAGTAGGAGATCCCTGAGTGCAGGAAACAAGCAACGTAGCACGAGGTGAGAGAATTAAGCACAGAGCAGGAGAGCAGTTACCCCGTGTGCATCCACCCCAGCAAGGGAGGTATCCAGCAAATCCTTGAAAGGGATGTCTTACAAAAGCTTCATTATAAGCCCTTCCTAATTTGAGAACTGTCAGGAATGGCAGTATTATTTTCCACTCAGCTGTTGGGATCTCTGTGTGTGTGTGTATCTGATTAAATGGCACCTTCCAAAAAAACACAGGCAGTCCCTGATAAAGCCTTTGTACAGTGCCTGGCAGAAGGGCACCACTTGAGTATGAATAAGTGATATTTTAATGTCTTTGTTGCGTAACAGAATCCCAGTGTTGTGGCTGCCGTGGTGGGACGGGAGGACTGTGCCTGTTTGCTGCCATAAAGGTGGTGGATTCACAGCAGGACAACCATTCCTGCTGCCTTCCTGCTGGAGAGGGGCTGAGGTCCCCAGAGATCTCTGAAAGTACTTCTAGGTCAACATTAGGAAATACTGGAAGTATGCAAATCGTAGGGAAAACCAAGTGCCTTGCACTTGAAGTTTTCCTCCCTCTAACAACACAAATGTTGTCTTGATGCTCTCCTGGAGCTTGCCTGGTGGCAGTGGGATCTCACGGTGGGTTCCCTTTTGCAGGGGAAGTCGGGTTTCTGACAGCACCGTGCATATCCCACACTAAAAGGGCATCTCAGAAGGCAGGCTTGGCTGCAGCTGCTACCTGGAAATCCAGAGGCCATTGTTTTCCTTATTTCATCTGTTGCTAGTCAGCTGGAAGGCACAGTGACCTATGAGTAATGTGGTCATCCCCAACTCATGCTGATAAAACCTTTACACTGCTGCCTCTTGCCATCTCTCCTTCTCTATCTCTCTGAGATGTTCTGATCCAATCTTGACTTCCTTTGAGGTAGGGCATTCTGTCTTAATGCCCTAACCCCCTTGGAGAGCCAGAGAGAAATGATTTTGAGATGTTTTTTTTTTTCTGTTGTTCCTTTGCCTGATAGACTTGTCTGCAGGGCTTTTATACCAACGAGAGAGGATGTGGCTCTGCAGCCCTAACCCAGGGGCCCTTTAGGACACTGCTCCTCTCAATTAGTGGCTGCCTTTGAAGGCAGAGCAGGAGAATTTCCAAATCCCAAAATATCAGTTTGGTCCTGTGGGCAGCAAGCCACCAAGTGCAGCCTAGAGCAACTTAAAGATTGGGAGGTAGCAAAGCTCAGTTGCTCTTTGTTCTCTCCACCTTCTTGGCAGTGCTACCCATATCCTGGCTGCCACCTGTCACTTGGAATATTTGTAATTCCCTGAGTTTGTTTGTGCCACTAATAAAAGTTTCTTGCTTTCTCTTTACAGATCAGCCTGGTGGATTTTATGGAGGATTTCTACAGCTGAGGGATAACTGTGAATTTCCAGGTAATTGGCATTTCTTCTGTTTTTTTCATGAGCTGCCCTGGGTGTCGTGACCTTTTCTTTGATTTTAGGCTGCAGTCCTCTCTCCTAACCCCCTAAACTGGGCACCTCATGATCAGACTGTTGTCCTGAGTTGCATCTTAAGAGTTACTCTGAAATGCAAAGTGAAGGAAGTTCTGGTTACCCCCTCAGAATCCAGCTCTCCTGGATTCTCTCCTGTCCCACCAGTAGAGTTGGACCAGAAACTTCTGACTGCCAGTTCATATCTGAGGGGGTTTGCTTGCACTTTATAACGGGATAAATAGCTGAACATTTACTGGATAAAGAGCTGTCTTTCTGACTGCATGATCCTGCCAGAACTCATTGTGCTTAGTGGTGGAACTCAACTTTCTTGTCCCAAAGCCAACACTCTCACTCTCTGACTGGACAGGAACCTCCTCTATTTCTCACCTTTTGAAAGGGCTGAGGTTTACTGTGGATTTCTGTGGTAGATTTTAAACTGTTCAGTGCTTACATTAGCTTTGGAATGAGAAACGCCCAAGTCAGGTGAGGAAGTTCCACAGTGGGGACCTGCAGAAGAGTGTTGGGTTATGATGGTTTGAGAAGCACCAGGTCACAATAACGTGAAGCCCCAGTCCTGCTGTGGGGCCAAGCTTTGTGCAGTGCCTGACAGGGTTGTTGAAGACGCAGCTTTTAGGAGTCCCATAAAAGCAGAGTGTTTTTCAGCTTGGCACCCGTCCATCCTCGTTATGGTAATGTCGGCATTGGGAGCTCCTTGGGGCAGGACTGTGGCTTTCCCTCTGTCTTGAGGCTCTCCGAGATTGTGGCCAGCATTCTGTGAACCAAAGCTAATAAATCAAAGCCAGTTTTTCCTCATGCGCTTCAAAACCTACTCCATTTTGGGACGAGAAAACCACGTACAGCTCACTGCAGGCTTTGTCAAATTATTCCTCCCCTTCACACTTGGACTCTTCTTCATTTTCCACACACTTAATACTCACCCAACTCCTTTCTGTAACTGGCAGCTGATCCAATTACACACTAGAGGTAGAAATACTGAAGTCTTACAGTTCAAATGTGGAATGATATGCATAGTCACTTTGTCACTCAAATCCTTAAAAAAAAAATAAAAATAAGGAGGAAAGAAAACTCAGACTAGCTGGCCATAATCAAGGGCAGAAAATAGAGCACGCAGTTAATATGTCCCTGGTTTGCCAATGCTGGGATGTCACAAGTACCAGTCAGGAAGCCAGAGCCATGTGTCTTCCCAGATAAAAACGCTGGCTTTTTACTTCTGGGGCTACGGTTCAAATCCAGCTTAAGGTTCTAAATTAAATAAGACCCTTAACCTGTGCCAAAACACGGGATCCCTCCAGGTCACAGCCGAGGTTATTGGCAGGTCAGTGCGATTAAGCCTGTGTTCCATTGCCTTCAGCACCCTTAATGGCATAAATAAAGGAATTAAGGCCCAAACCCTGCCACAGTGCCAAGCAGTGTGTGAGCACGGGCACCCAGGCACAGAGACATGGACAAAGGAGCACCTGAATTCTCCAGGGGGAAGGAATGTGGGCAGGGTGGGGTCACTGCACTGTAGGTCTCGCTGCTTTCTGCAGTGAGGCACTTGGTGGGAATGGACTCACCTCAGGGGCAGCAGCAGCTCAAAGGCAGCAGAATTTGGGGTCAGGCGGGTGGTGCTGCCTTGTGCCTGTTTTCTGGGCTCCCTGATCCCCCTTCCACGGCACCAGCAGTGCAGAACTGTAGGCACAGTCACCTGTGGGATCCCAGTGGCACCATCAGCGTGTGCAGCTCTTGGACTGTGTAAGGCTCGTGAGAGAAGTTCGTTGTTGGAAAGGATCCCAGTCACTTGGTGGGGATAATAATGAAGGCCTCTTTGAATTAGAGGTAGAGTCAGGATGGAGCCATCTGGTAGCAAACAGGTACCCCCTTGCTTGCACTGTGCTGTTTGACTGCTGTGTGAGTGGCAGGCCTGCTTCCAGAATCACTCCTTTGGAGAATTCTGGTTCAGATTCTCGGCTGGGTCTTTGCTCAGGGAGCATTTTGCATTCAGCAGAACGGGCTTGTAAAACTGCAGAGTGGCAGCAAAGGATCTACAGCAGCACTACCAAAACTGTAGGAACCTTCAAAGCCTCCAAGCTCCTCCAGCTCCCACCAGAGAGCTCGAGATGAGAATCCCACATGACAGAAAATAAGCAATAATTAAAAATCCCAATTTTGCCCAAAGAATTCCTTTGTTCAGGGTATGTAAATGTCTTCGCCTGCTTGTAAGTTATTTCATTTTTGCTAGTTCCTTAGCTCAGTAATCTGAGCTTGGGAATAGAGGAGTCTGAAAGGAGTGTTACTCTGAAACAAAACACCTGTCTTTCAGTCAAGACTAAATTGACAAGCAACAATTTAGTTGTCTAAACTCAGAGCTTTCAGGATTTCAGACTACATAAATGTCAAGATGCCTAGGTAGGGCTCAAAGGTGAGCAACAGTGTAGGCAAATATACATTGGAACTTCAATTATCCAACCCCTGATCACTCTCGGTTACCTGAAGTTTAAGCATGTCTTCCTTCACTCTTGATTTCTACATTTTTCTGTGGAAACCTTTTGTACTGAGTCACCTCTGTCTCTGCCCAGCAGAGTCTGTAAACTTTTAAGAGCTCGTCTCCTGAGGAGCTTAGTGTGTCTGCCAGATCACAGCATCAGCAACCCCTCTCTGACAGAGCCTGTAATTATCCCTTCATGTTACCAGCTACATTGGGATGGAAGAATTAAAATAAATAAATCACTGTTTTCATCTTTGTTGTCTCCAGCTCCGCTTTTCCACAGGCGTGGTGTCACCGAGGCACCTTCCTCCTCATACAGTGTTGTTGTACCTGCATGGAAATGCCTTCCATAAATGATTCCTTGTTAGGGACGTCATGTCCCCTCATGAGCAGCCAGATGGACTTTGCTAGTTAGCAAAATTCACCATTAGTCGTTTGGATTTCAGGGACCACAATCTTTCTTTCCTTGTTCTCCCGTGACATCTTTCACATTGACTGATATCCAAGAGCCAAATGTGCCTTGATTTACACAGTTTTGAGTCTTAAAAAGACCATCAGAGAAATTTTGCTTTGCATCTCGCTGACCTCAGCACTTCTTCTCAATACATCCCAGCCACTTTTGAGGGGGTTTGTTGTGATTTGATCTCAGGGAGGTACCAGTTCACATTTGCAGGTCCCTGCACCAACTGGAGAACTAAATCAAACAGCTGTGAGTGGCAGAAGAAAATGGCTGGCAGGGAAGTATGTGAGACCTCTTCACCTTCTTTTGCACTGCTTCATTTTCCAGCCTTATTTTCACCCCATCCTTGGCTTTTATTTGCCACTTCAGGTTTCTCCCAGTGCTTCCTGACATCATCTCTTCTCCTCTCTATGGCGAGGTGTGAAGGGAGTCCCTCTCCTTTCCTCCTTGCTCTTCAGCAAGTTTTCCTCTTTATCCTTCAGGGGAGGAATCTAAAACTGAGACAGGATAGGAGATTTTTGTTTCATCCCCGAAGAGCATCTGAATAAGCCAGGCCCTCCTGTGAGATGAGGGGTGGCAAACGCTGATCTGGGCTGTGGTCCCTTTCCAGGGACACGCTCCGTGCTGGCACTGGGGGATAAAAGCCGCTGTGCAAGTGCTGCCTGCTCTGCAGTGGAGGATTTTTGGGTAGAATGAGCCCCCTGAACAATAAAACAGCCCCCCCTGAGGAAGAAAAAGGGGGATTTCAGGCCAGGTCAGGCAACGTCTGCCTTCCCCTTCGCTGAAGGCAAAGAGCTTGATCCTACCAGAACAAATGGCATAAGACATGGAGGATCCGGCGTTGCACAGGAAAATGAAATCCTTTTCTCCGTTGAAAGCAGAGTTGCACAATTGAACTGGAAGGCAAAATGCAATCCGGTCATCTGTTGCTTTCGGAATGGGAAGAAAACAAAATTAAGTGGGGATAATTAAATTGTAAGTTTTGTGGGTAAAAAAGGAATCTTACTCCCCTGGCAGGAAACTAAGGACCAGGCAGTGCCCATTTCGATATTTAGGACGTTCTAGTGTCTTAGGTGTTTCCTGGCCATCAAAACTTGAAATAAATTAAAGTTGCACTTTAATTGAATTACACAACGACATCAATTTAAACATTAGTAAACAGATGCAATTCTGTGCAGTGCTTTAAATTGCGTTTTCTCACATATGCATTTAATTTAAATTTATTGAGATGGTTATTTATGTTAATAAAATAATTAAAAGCAGTTATTTAAGACTAACTATGAAATAGCTGTGTAACTACCTATATTAATAAGACAGTTAGTTAAGGGATAATGTCTATTGCTTTATGGTGTAATTGCAATAAACAGCTGCTGAGTTTGATTAAGAGCTGAAGTGGAGCTAAAGTGTTTGAGCGATCTCAAAAGCTGTTTGTTGTAAGTGTACTACAAAGCAACAGCGATTATTCCTATTATACAAAAAGCCATAGCATAAGCATTAAAATATAACACAGAAGTGTGGTGCTTTTTTCTTAGGTGATTCAAGCACGTGGAGGGGTGGGCCTGGGGAAGGAAGGCTGGGGCTTTAGTGGAGAAGAGGTTGAGGGGGCAATGATTTTGCTGAACAGTTTTTGCTCATACCCAGATTCTCAGCCCTGTGTGAGTTACACCTGAGTGGTAGGAGGGGCACAGTCTGTGCTTGTGAACTGTGTTTCCTCAGGGGTGGCATCATTTGAAAATCTTTAGCTGGATCCCTTTGAAATTTTATAGAAAAGTTTCCACCTTGGCTCCAGGTCTGACCTAGGAATTCCTTCAGCTTTTTGCTGGCATATAAAGAGGGAGAGTCAAGCCTGTAGTAAAAACCCTTCTGTGACTTTGACCATGAAATGGCTGCTGCCACTCCACAACTCCATCATTAACTCATGAAGCAGACACTTCCTGGTCCCCAGGCATGTCCTGCTTTATGGCACTGACACAGACCTAAACCACGGACCAT